AAAGGAATTCGAAGGAAGACTTCATAACAGTTGTGATTAGAATTCCAAACTGATATGAAGAAAATTCCCAACAGCTTGTGAGGAGCAAAACTGCAAATGAGTTTCAAGGAGAATTCCAAGCAAAATAATTACAAGAGACGATAAAAATCCAAAGGGAATTCTGACAAGAATTCAATGAAAATTTTAAAAAATAATTTCTAAATAGGGGAAATTGCTCTAATGTTGGCCTTTGGATCTAAGATTGGGCCCATCGCTAAAAATCTGCTATTTATCAATTTTATCTAGTGGAACGCGTCATTGGGACGGTAATAATGGATATTTTTGGTCGCTATTGAAAATCTAGTCGATTGCTGAATTTATGTATGAGAGGCCCAAATTAGGTGCATTTAGGCCGACATTACATCCATTACGCTATTGCTCAGGAAAACTATAACGGAATTAAATACACAGGAAAGCTCCTACAAAATATTTATTACAATTCGAAGGGAATTCTTCAATATTCTTAGGATATTTTCAAGGGAATTTCCAGGAGTATTTCAAGGAGGATAATTTAAGGAAATTTTGCATACAGTTATAAAAACAATTTTGTGAAGAATTCCAAGGGGATACAGATGATTCAAACAATCACAACTCTGAACACAGAAAAAATTAAGACTCGCGACTCGAAGAAATTAATCTCATGCTAAGAAAGATATCATGATAAAGAAAAAAAATTAAGATTCGAGGATTTTACTCGATATTCGAGACTTCAAAAATGTAAGTGATCCGTCCAGGGTGTGATCAGGTCCTACGTTGTATTCCTTCGAAATATAACCAGTAAATTCGAAATTATGCACTCCTCTATGTTGAAACCTGCCTACGCCCTTGGTTACATATCTTTTCAATGTGTTTTTATATGACTTCATACGCGAAGTTTGCGATTTTCAGAGTTGGTTGCATCTATCGAATTTGGCTCTCAGGCAGCAATTTATGTGCATGTGGCAGTGGTTATCATGATATCGAGCATGTTCTTTAGTCATGTACCCCACACCGTGTTGTCAGATCTGAGTTATCCACATCCCTCAGAGCCCGAGGAAAACAACCCGCGATACCCGTTAGAGATGTCTTGGCTAGCCGAGATTTCGACTATTTGAATTTAATTTATGTGTTTTTAAAACAGATAGATCTGAGGATTTAGTAGTCAGTGTCATCTTGTGTTCTCCCAAGTTGTTAGCTGCCCATCGATGTACCCCCATATTTGTCTTTTCCATCAGTATGTCGCTTAGTTCGAGATCAAGAGCACATTGCTCTCCAAACCTTGTGTTCTCAATCCCTACCCTGCCTTCCACTTGTTACAATTTGTTACGTTAGTTCTAAGTAATTTTGTTATCTAAACAATGAATATCGACTCCGCAAAGCTATAGCAAATGAGCCTGGAAAAATAAACGCATTATAAAAAAGAGTTGGTTGCAAATGCTATCTAACATGAAGCCTTACTGTGATAATTTATTAGCTAGATAATGATCTTAGAAGAGGGTAGGTAGATAGTTCCGTTAGAGTACGGCAGTGTGAAAATTGAATAGAAGTTGAAAATGTTAGGCAAAGAGTGTGCGTTTGATTTGCATTGTCGCATTAAATGTTCTTCGCTCATTTTCAACTTCTATTTAATTTTCATACTGTTGTACTCTAACGGAACTATCTACCTACCATTTTCAAAGATCATTCCCTAGCTAATAAAATTATCATAGTAAAGCTTCATGTTCGATAGCATTGCCAACCAACTCTACATATCTTTATTTGTCTGTATGTTGTCTGTAAACAGTGATGGCATTATCATTTGCAAACTGATTTTTTGTTTTGTTCTCATTCGCTTTCAATACAACGCGTGATATTTATTGGAACACAATATCACGCTCTATATTGATTTTACAAGCTTCTTTGATACAGCGAGACTGCTCATCACATGTGAAATTTTAGCTGAGAGTTGACTCGTCGCGAAATTGATTCGGTTGCATATAGTTTTCTTGGAAAGAGATAGAATAGTTTGCTTTCTCTCTTTACTCTTCACCCATGCCAGCCACGAAGTAACTGCTTACTACTGCCTGTGGTGATGGAAGTTTCGGGTCGCGTTCGGGTGTGAAGCTAGAATCTAGGTGATAGGGGAAATGGAAGTAACGTCGGCCTAAATGCCCCAAATTTGGGCCCATATATAAATTCAGCAAGCGACTAAATTTTCAAAAGCGATTAAAAATATCCATTAGTACCGTCTTAATGACGCGCTCATCTAGATAAAATTGATAAATATCAAATTTTTAGCGATGGGCCCAATCTTAGATCCATAGGCCAACATTAGAGATATTTCCCTTAAGTAAAAATTTTGCTAAAGCATTTTAGAAAACGGGTCTCGTGAATAATCCGGAAATTTACAGTTGAAGACCTGCAAAAACCAGGAAAAAGCAGAGGATTTCATTCAGTAAAATGTGTTGACACCTTGATCTGGTCACCGTATAAAAATATTTCCGGATTCTCAGGAATTCCCGTAAGAGCCATCAGCTGCTTCCCGATTCCCGGGTAGCCAACAATGGTCGAGAATCGGAAACACTAATCTCGATATTTTATAGAAGGTTCTATCTCTTTTTGTCGATTTAAAACCGATCAACTATGTTTACTCATTACTGCGGATACTGTGGATTTGCAATGTTGATGCATATAATCATAAATACAAACCGTAAATTAAAGGTTCTTCTTCTTCTTTATTTAACGTCGGTCTCTGTTCCGCAATCGACTGCCAATCACTGGCGGACATCGATTGTCATCCATTGACGGCAATCGAATGTTCAGGAAGGCAGCTTCCACACCTGCGTAGGATATCGCACCCATTCAAACACACATGGGCCGGGACCAACGGCTTTACTTCCCTTCCGAAGGAAGACGTGAATAGAGATTTGTATGCCTCAGAAAAAGCCCACCGACCTAAACTGGGATTGAGCCCAGACTCTTTGGGGTGAGAAAACAGTCACGCTTACCACTACTCCACCGGCGCCGGCTAAGGTTGAAAACAAAAATATTGTTAAAATACCAATCTGTTCGTGGTGGAAAGTGAATTAGGTAAATTTATATTTTGATCTACCAAAAGAGATTGGGGTTAATCAAAAATGAATATCTTGATAATTGATATAATCTTGATATCAAACGTCATATTTAATGTAGTGCAAACTTGATGTGTAGCCATTATTTTTCTGGGTATTTGAATTATTGAAAAAAATCGATGCACAATTGATATATTTTATGTTATTTTGCATCATTAAATAGTGTACACAGAACCTATCTTGTACAAATTCGAAGTTAATATTAAATATATTGTGTTTTTTTTTTTGATATTTTCAAAATTTCACCTATTAGTTATGCAATTAAAACATAACTGGGATATTTTAAAGCAGAATAAGTGTATTGGTTCTGCTATCAAGATAGGCTATTCCACCAATATAGGCTGTAGTGTGAACGAAGTGTTGCACCTACTGCTTTTATTCGTAAATATCAGGTAATGTTTGGCCAAACACGATTTTCCAGACATTTTTGAACATTCCCAGGCATTTCAAATTTTCATCGCAAGCTTTCAAACAAATCATCTGGCATGCCTGCTGTGAAATTCTCGTGGTCAAACGTCAAAATCACGACCGAGTTTGACCTGCTAGAACTACCGCGCAATAAATAGTGCGAGATGATTCATCCACATCGCAATCACTCATGTTTTGGTTGAATGAACGCCAGCAAAGGCAACTCGAAGTAGGTTGGATCGGTTGAATGAACGCCAAAAAAGAGATCGCAAGTTGTTGCGATCTGTTTCAACCTCTCATTAAACAATGCTAATACGACAACTGGTATACATAAACATATCAACAACAGTTACCTAACAGGAATCAGTGCTGCCAGACTGCATGCAATGTGAAGGTTTGCAACTGTTAAGGTAGTGTCATTTAATTTATTCACACCCTGTAATGTTCATCACAGTTTGATTTCATAGATGAATAAAAACAATTTATTGTACACAATTAGTTTTTTATACCTCGGCTGTGAAAATCTCGGCAAAAAAAGTTTTAATGAGATCTCAGCAAACATTTCATTTGTTTGCTGAGATTCAGCTAAGCATTATCCGAGACTCAGCAATCAAATGTCACTTTTGCTGAGATCTCAGTGAAACTTCTTTTTGCCGAGGTTTGCACAGCCGAGCTCGGTAGAAAAAACTAAGTGTGTAGGTTATTGTAGATGTTTAAGGTGATTCCTTGTTGAGTCCACAAAATGGCCGCCACGTAGGCTATACATGCACTTTCCCTTAGAATTTTCAACTACACCAATATCGGAAATCAGTGCTCCATTTCATTTGAAATTTCTACTTCATATATGCTGCAGTGCAGCAAACGTGGAGTAACAATTTAAATGTTGCACGTGTCGTAGCAGCTGATATTTGTGCTCTTAAAATGTTGAAGTGGTTACGGGAATAAGGATGTCACAGCGAATCACCTTAAGTATCTTGAATTCCAATGAAAACTAGATTAGTTCATTCCGCCCATTTTGCTTTTTGCTTTGAGGTTTCAACTACACAGCAAAACGTGTTATTTTCTCTATCCAAATACAGTTTCAAAATCATCGAAACACACATGTGCCGCTCCATGTAAACACGTGTGATAGTTTAAACCAACTTCACGTCTCTAGTAACCCAAATAATCCATAACGATTCACCTAGATTTACCCTCGACGGCGACGCGACGCGACGGCACAGCACAGCGCTCATCTGCGGCAGAAGTACACACGATCGCTATAAGTAGTCACTAATCATAGGCGCTATGCGCTGCTCAAGACTAATTATCACACATACACACCCCTCTTGCGATTGATGAGTGCGATATAGATTCAATTTATGTAATCAACCCCACCTGCCCGGGTGTGGTAGCATCGGCATACGAAACCGTTGAAGCCCAAAATTACCCCGCCCGCTCCGAGCTGAAGAAGTATTTAATTACCTGACTAAGTACATCAGCAACTGCTTCGGTGGTACACATTCGTCGTTCTCCGTCTCCTGCTCGCCGAAGCCGCCCTCCATTTCGAGCTTACGTACCGCCAGCCGACGATTCGCGGCCATCGGTGTCTTCATCGATGCCTCGAAGATCGCCAGCTTCTTGCGGAAATATTCTCGGGTTTGCTTTTCGTTCTCGAACTGACTCAGATCTACTTCCTCCTCTTCGTAAAACCACTCAACGTCGATAGCTTTCCTCGAATTAACGAACATTTCCCCTATATCCGACGAATCCTTCCGACAGGTGCCACGGTAAACGCACGACGAATCATCTGAAATCATACGCGACACTTGACCCGACTTCTGCTGGTTCCCGAAGTGACCCTCGGGCAGCAGGTCCATTAACGATGGATCTCTACTCATCATTGTCTCGCAAAACCGAACTTGCGCCAAAATGCTGTTCTTTCAAAATGCTCACCGAAAAGAAAAATGTTTTCACACTGGGGCTCACTCGAATTCCGTAAATATCTTGCTCGGTTCAACTTTTACTTCGCACTGATCGCGAAAAAATCAAAATCCAAACCGATAGCCCGTCACTAGCTCGCGATCCGACGGCGGGGGCCTCCTCTCTCTCACTGACTCATTCACGGACTAACCAACTGACTGTGTAGGATTGGCAATTGGGTGAGTTTCTTCGTTTGTATTCTCGTTTTCGTCTGCTTTTTTCAATGTTTATTTACCACCCAAACAGACCAGTGGATGATGGACGACGGCCGACGACGGCGGGATGGTGCGTTTCTTTTGCAGTGGCAAAAGAGAGCGCTCTCGCACAGTTAGAGATCTTCGTGATCTCCGTGCACTTGACTCCTCGATGGGATGGGATGGGATGGGTGGGATGAAGCACTGCAGCCGGTTGCCCAAGTAGCCGATGCAGACGGGTACACTTTCCCAAGATCAAGGTCGTTTGCGTGTTCGCGAGTGCGCTCTGCTCTGATCTGCTAGGTCTCTTATGTCCGGCGGCGACTGTGACTGCGCGGTGCAACGGCCGTCGGGTATCTTGAGGGGCTCGTCAAGCGTCGAGATGCGGAACGGGAATTTCTGCCGGTGTCGTTGCTGGCTGGTAAGATAGTGGGGTTCTTTGTTTTAGCTAGAGAATTAATGTTTATTTGAAAGGTTACCAATGCCAGTGTGGCATGGAAACTACTTTAGTAGCAGCACGGTAATAGGGAAATAGAATCGAGTGATGATCTTCAAACATGTGTTTGGGAAGCAATTATTAATGACTGTGGGATGCGGTTACTCTTGAGGAAGTTTGACATTTTGGGTAGAATTCTTCCTATGTATGACATCAGTTTTATTATATAAATTGAACGAGTGAGATACGGTTTTGGTGACAGACAGTGATGAGTACTGAAGTTTTAACGATGCTAATCATCATCCGAAATTAGCTCGCTTATCGATTAAATCTAGATAGAGCTGGAATTAAGGCCTAACAACTTTTGTAAACAATGGCTTTTCTCGATGATTTCTAGGAATACAGAACGCGTCAACGCGAACCAACATAACCATCGGGTAGAGGAAGACTTCCCCTATCTGATGTTGATATTGCTTTGCTTGGGCGGGCCTTGAGTTACTGGAAACCATCGAGAGAAGTCATTGTTTACAAAAGCTGTTACGCCCTAATTCCAGTTCTATCTAGAAATGTTAATTTGACAAGCACAAAAAGTTGTGATCGCTAACTATTTTCTCCGTCATATAGATAAAATCAGTCATACTTTTTTTTTTAATTCATCCATGTACAGTAAATCCTCGAAATCCGGAAACTTATTCCATGTGCATTGAAACTGACGTGTTTTGAATTTGCTGCTGCTTAATTTTCCGAGATGTTTATTGAAAATTTAGTGCAATAAGTCCTTTAGCTGGTGCATTTTGAACACCTGAAAACCCACGCAAACCAATACCACTTTCGGAAAGGTGATAGTTGCCCCTATGCGATGATGTTGTTGGTTTTCGCGGGCGAACTTTGGTTCGCGTGTAAAGGGCCTTAGAAAGTTTGTTTACAAATGCTTTTGTGCCGTTATCAAATGTTCTGCCTGAAATCTGGACACTTTTAAAAGTTGATTAACACTGCCTAATATGCTCAAAATATATCGTAAATTTTATCATGAACTTTTAGTATAGTTCACACATATATATTATGTGTTAATATTTGATTTAGAAATGGAATGTCCAGATTAGTGAAACGTCTGGTATTTGATGCATTACGGTAAATACGAGACGGTAATAATAGCAAATCATATATGAAAAATTAAGAGCTGGCACTACAGCAATTCTTTAGAAGAAGTTAGAGGGGATCATAGAATTTCCAAACAATTGGTATTTTTATTCCATTTCAATTTTTAGATTCGCTTTAGGTGGCTTTTTCCGTGTTAGAGTGGTCTAAAAATCATCATTTTTCATAATTATATTTTTTTTAATCTAATTTTTGAATCACTTGACCAATTGCTTGGACCCAAAGGTCAAATGAAAGATTATTAAATCTAGATTTTGGACTTTAATTGTGGTTCTACATAGAAATGCATTGATTATAAAAGATGTTCATGGTTTTCATGGTCTCTGGACCAAAGACACTATTACATGATATATTTTTTCTTGAAAATTTGGACTTCTTTATCAAAAATTCAGCGAGCTATGTTTTTGCGCTTCTAAGATACAATTTTTCAAAAATATTAAGTAAATAATTTTTACTCATAATTTGTCATCACAAATTTTTGATATATTGTCCTAATTTTCAAGATAAATATAACATGCAATAGTTCCTTTGGCAGGGCTGGTACCCAAGCAACACACATGTTTTATAACAATCTATATAACCTTTATATGACTGGTTTTGGTTGTAAAGCAGTTTATTGAACATAATTCTATGCATTTGTGTTACCTGAGTAGCAGGTCACTGTTTTGAAGTCACCAGGATCCAGGATCGCGAGATATTTCATCCCAAGTAACAATTCTGCAATCATTTGGCATCCACTCTGATTTATGATGGTTTTATAATGGCAATGAATAATCCATTTAGTTTAAATCCAGCATTTCGCAGCGTAACACGTTCCTGCTTAGTAGTTCACCTTTTCGCTGTTTTAAAAACCTTTTACAGTCTGTCGAGAAGTCAAAAACTGTCTTGTTTTAAAATTAAATTTAAAGTTGTTCTCAATCCCACCATAAAACTGTTCTATAAATCAATCATAAACTTCATTAGCATTTTTTTTATTAATGTCTTGATAAAATACTCTATAAAACTGTTCTATCATTATAAAAGCAATCATATAACCATTAAGTTTTAAATGAGAGCAAATTGTATATATTGTTGCCTTTTAGGCTTTTAAAAGTGTATCATAAAATCTCCTCTGTTTACAAATTGAATTTTAACGATGGATCCTCACAGTGAATAAAAACCAAATTTATGACAAGGATATATCGAAGGATAAACGAAGTTGGAAGAAAAATTCAAGCGATGCTAACGACCGAAGTAAAATTTAGTTCTTTAGAAGAACCAGTACGTCCGGCGGAACGGTTAAAATCAAAGACTGAGCATCTGGTGGAGAAGAGAGAAGTGAGCGTGGTCCTCAAATTCATAAAACATTGTCAAAACAGCCTGAAAACAAACCAGCCTTCTCCAGACCTTGCGAATAGATGAAGATCGGAATAACTTGTGTCAGTACCGACAGCAAACCACTGAAACTTTCAGTTAGCGGACACTAGTTGGTTTCCGATCCATAGCTGCGATTTTATTCGGTGAAAAGGTTATCACTTGGAAAAAATTAATTCAACTGTACACTTCTGCATCGTTTGATGGTGCACTTCCAGAACCATCCGGAAGAAGGGGATCTTTTCGGGAATTATCGAGGTTACAGCTGTGCGAAATGCTTCCAAGCCATCGGGAGATAATCGCCTGGAAGAACGCTTAATCTCACAGCGCAACTATCGAAAGATAAACAAACTTTGACGTTTATCTTTTGCAAGCAACTTTGCCTCCATAAATGCTGCCATAAATCTGAACGAGTTAAGATCAAGCAAAATGGCTGCAGCCTGCAAGTTTTCTTCATAAAAGTAATTTTACAACATAAGGATTTTGTTATGGATTTCTTAAAAGCAAAACAAACTTTTTCACAAATGACCCATGAAAATCAACTTTTATGCCACCGCCATGTTTGTTTGTTTTTTACAATCTTCGATTTTCTCTCTATATTTCCTTGGATATAACTATATTTTGGTAAATTTAGCAATGAGCAAACATTTAAATGCGAATATCATAAAAAAATAATCTCAGCCTAGCTCGATCTGAAAAATCATTTATTTTATTCAATGTAAAATAATTAGTCAAATCGACGTTTTACGAGAGCGGACCTATTTTTTTTTCGATGTTTTCATGTACACTACACATGAAATTTAATAAGAAATAATGAGAACTATTGTAATAAATTTGGATATTCAACACGATTTTTATACCATCAGTTTCTATTATAATTATTTTGATAAGATCGGATTCATAAATCCTTTTCTATCTTGATTGATGCTTTCCTAGTGGATTTAGTAAGCGGCTAGGGGAAATGGCTCGGAAAGGGTTTTGATTGTTGCTAAATAGCTTTTGTTGTAGTTTTCAAATGGTTCTCAATGCGTTCGTCATACAACCTTTTGCAGTAAATCAATCTTGAAGAGCTTCAAGAATACACCCTTCAGAACCTTCTTCAGGGTGGGCCAACTAGACATATTCTAGTCTTAATGAGGTTATGGTGGATGCATTAATGACGAGATAGCCTTGACCAGGGTTTTATGAATGTTGTTTTATAGTTGCTTTGTAGTATTTCATAAAACTTAAAATGTTACTTGGGATGTTGGTCCCTATTATGTCAAATCCCAAAGGCTACGTGTACGAACGGAATCATTCGAGACCAACGTAAATGGAATTCGTGTAGACCGAGTTCGCGTTCTTCGGAGGGAGAGTGTATAACCAGGGTGACCGGAAAAAATCAAACACCAGGGAAAAAACTGAGAAAAAGCCTTGAGTTTCGAGGCCAAATCGGAGAAAATGTCTGGTCACAACGGCAAAGGATACCGATATGACTCAGTAGCAATAAATTGGACCCAAGATTATTCCTAGACAAACAAACAAAAAATGTACCCGAAACATCCGACGCCAAACTATCGTTTTTGAGACTGCAAGCAAGGAATTTGCAACAGCGGACTCAAAACCAAGGCTTTCATCACCAACATAACGATGCACTCGAAGCTGTATGAGCAGGAGTGCCTGCACAGATAAAAACTCTGAATTTTAATTGTGATGCAAACATTCATTCACGTAGACTTGTATTTCATTTCACGCAACCGAGCAACTTGCAAACAGTGTTGTTTACAAAGATGGGCTTTTGCATACAATATTTGCTACATTGCATGAAATGTGTCAGAACTTTACATGATATATAATGTAAACGTATATGATATGTGACGCTCCATTTATGTGCATCATATTGAACAGAAATTTACACTACTTTTTCGAACTGTGTGGAGAAATCTATCTTCTTCTTCTTCTTCTTCTTCTTCTTCTTCTTCTTCGCATTTCAAGCTTATTGCATATCGCATATTAGCTTATAGCGTGCTCTCAACTTAGTGTTCTAGATGCACTTCCACAGTTATTAATTTAGAGCTTTCGATGCCTGTACCATTTTTGCATGTGTATAATTGTGTGGCAAGTCCAATCATACTTCTATGCCGAGGGAAGTCGAGAAATTCCTAGACCGGACCGGGAATTGAACCCAGCCACCTCCAGCATGGTCTTGCTTTGTAGCTGCGCCTTTACCGACTGTGCTAAAGGAGGCCCCAATGACCTCACAAAGTTCTATTCTATAACATCCAAGCCTGCTTTAGCCTTTGACGGAGCCAAAATCCAACTTGACTGATCAAGAAACCTGAATTTCTATAAAATTACGTACTTTTGTGGATGTAAACCCAGTTTTTTGAACAATTGGGTTGTTTAACTTCGAAAAATGTACCGGTTTTTATACATCATCTGATAATGCTTCGTTTTCTGAGCACAACGATATTTTTATCGATCCTGTAGACATTCATCTCGATTGTTAAACCAAGATTTAAATTTTTGATCGTTGACACTAAATCTATTCGTTGACAGCTCGCTCCCATAGAAAATCTCACCAAGGGGCGCTAAGATGGTGATTTTTGCTAATGTAATCGTACTTATTTAAAATAGTTCCAGTGTATCAAAATTGATGAAATTTTGGATTTCAGTTCCATTGTTAATGCAGGTCACGAATATGTATTTACCTCAATACCCCTAAACAACCCAACTGTGCTTGCTTAAAAAAAATGTACCATCAGGTATGAACACACGAAGGTCCATTCTTTAACATTTCAGCCTAATTTTCAAAGGATGTGAATCTCACAATAACGAGGAAGGGCTCTAAGGGAGCGGAATCTACGTTGAAAGTTAGTTAAATCACTCAGTAAAGCTCAGACTAACATTACATTTAATTCAATCACTCAACCGAAAAGTTTGAACTCCCTAAGGAAGGTATTGAGCCACTTCAGAAAAGGTTGGATTCCATTTGGAAAATTTAAGCAAAAAAAAAGTTTCGGTTCACTTCGGAAAACTTTCTACACGTTTAGGAAAGCTAGATGACCTAAGGAAAATTGTTTCCTTGCCAAAGCAGTTGAGAAAAATCTGGAGCTCACTTAGGAAAATGTCAAAACCCGCTCGAACAAGTTTGTTTTCAGTTCGGAAAAAGTTGAATCAATGCAGGAAGCCATGGATTCATTTAGGAAAGGGATTAAATCAGCTAATGTTGCCTCACTTCAGAAAATGCGAAACCAATTATTTAAAGCTTGGATTCGGGGTATGTTGAATCACTTCAGGAAAGCGTTGACAACTTTAAAAAGGATTGAATAACATAACAGAAAAGTTTAGACTCAGTTAGAAAAATGTTGATGACTTATTCGTAAGTTTGAACTCACTTAAAAAAGTTCAGACTCAGTTTTGAATTTGCTTTGAAAAGTGTCACCTCAGTTAGGAATTTCCTAAATCGTTTCTGATATGGTCTCACTTCTTAAAATTTTAAACCAATTTTGAAAAGATTGGATTTAGCTTGGAAATTGTTGAATCAGTGTAGAAAAGAATTGAATCATTAAGTATCATTGCAGCAGGTTTGTAAGTTAAGACATTTAGTTCAAATTCAACAATCTGGCGGCTACGGTGGGCTGGGCACACAGTTGTGATCTGACTAGAACAAGACGAAGATATGCGCAACGAACGAGAGGAATCGATCAGATTGAAGGCGGCTTACCTAGTGAGTTGCCAAACATGATTAGGAATGAAGCGTGATGTTCGATGAAATCCGTTTTCAACAACTGAAACCTGGCATACCGTACTGGTCTAGTACCAATTTATGTAAACATTATGTAAAAGAACAAGGTGATATTCTACAACAACATAAAATCTAGCAAAGCGAGAATCCATGCCCAAATGAATTTGCGATACTCAAAAAATAAATATACACTGATTTTTTTTTAATTTCCCTCTTTGTGATAGGGGAAATATATGTTATTTCGGTATAAATGCCCCTAATTAGGGGCCATAAATAAATTCGGCAATCGACTAATTTTTCAATAACGACCAAAAATATCAATTAGTACCGTCCCAATGACGCGTTCATTGATGACATTGATAAACAGCAGGTTTTAAGCGATGGGCCCAATCTTAGATCCATAGGCTAACATTAGAGCCATATCCCCTATTCCTAAATTTTAAAGGGGTGGGGGACAAAAGAAAAACTTGAGATTTTTTCTGGCCTTATGGATGTTAACCACTACACCGGGGCCATCTTCTTTTGTAAACAATGTTTAAAGAGCAATGAATCATTTTTCGGGAAATTTTTATTTTATATTTTCCAAGCCCAGGGAGGCTCAAATCCATCGAGAAATGGAAACTCTACCGTTTATCACTAAAAGCTTCCCATCTTAACATGAAAATCATCACTCGATGTTGACCACTACTAATTGAATCGAATAGTTGATATACTTACTTTTTTGCTTTATTGGCTTTAGACGTATCGTCATGGGAGATCTCCTGCCTTTCAACGTATTACACAAACTGTTCTCCAAAGTTTATTTTCAATTTGCGGACTTTGTTCAAATTAATGCGTATCGATATGGTCACTCAAAACATTTGAAGATCTTACACCAACCGATAGTTGTCTTCAAAAAAAAAACGTTTCTAGCTTGCCGTAGCTATCGTAAATTAGATCAAATCTTTGCCGAAGCCGAAACCACACTGAGACACTTTTACTCCAGTCGAATTCTCGCGAACCGAAGTAAACAACACCTCAATCATCCGAAATAACAATGAAACAAGTTTATTTTCTTTACACAAAGGCACGCGGCGGGCGGTGGCACCCCGAAATAAAAAAAAAATAAAGACCGAAGCGGAAGAAGCGTATATCTCACACAAAGGAAGCAGCACACTTCTGTCTGTCTGTCTGCCCACCGCGAAAATCACTTGCCGATAAAGCGCGCGCGGTTTCAGCAGTTCCACGCACAAATCACTGATCTCTAAAGCTCTGATAGTTAGTCAGTATATCGATAGTAGCAATAGTAAAACAAAACACAACTTTTCCATGCAATGCGAGCACAACAAGTTCTCCTCCCTTACGAAGTATGTACGAGTTCGGTTTGCCTAATGAGATCGATCTCGATCGAGCACTGAGCTAATACTAATTGGCATCGGAGAACGGGGCAATGATTTTATTCCAGAACTCCCCGACCGACGACGATCGACGACTGTGCTGGCAGGCGGTTCCGATAGCAAGAAGGTAGGTGGGTAGCTGTTGTTCCATACCTACATACGTTTGTTGTCGTCGGTAAGGAAGGTGCAAAAAAGAGGCACGATCGGACACTCACCACAGACAGGTCAGCATCGCACACAATCTACACCGCGATTGGGTTTGTTCTCGCAGCACAGCTGAACGCGACAAGACCGAGGAGGACGGTGACGATATGCATAGATAGCTATTGGCTTTGCGCTCCATCGAAGGAGCTAAGTGAGTGGTCCTCTCGCATTCTAAATGAGCATGGTTTCGCTGATCTTACTGAGTTCGGGATGGACGATTGCGAAGAGGTTGATTTTGAAGGAGCGACTGGATAAGTGACATGATAGGAGCTGAGTTCTTGATCGCAAGGGTGTGTAATATGGTGTGCTTCATAACGGTTCAAGAAAATTTTATGAATTTCTCCTACTGTGTTTAAAATATCCCATAATTAAAACAAACTCCGGATACATCGAAAAATATTTATGTCTCTGCTTTTAAAGTCTCGAAAAACTCTTTCCAGATTATTCCTGTGTGTTCAAAATCTCTAAAGCTTTGGAAACACTTGGAATCGGGATTAGTTATCCTAATATAAGATCGTTTCAAATATTTTGAAGAATCTTAAATCCAAGAAAAAGTATTCAAAGCTTGACATCTCGAATGCTTCACCCAGTTCAAAATTTCCATAATCACTCAATGATCTAGAGGAAAAGCCGTCCAACCTAACTTACGCAGTTCATATAATAAAAACTGCCTTTGGATTGCCTCTATTCGTTCTTCATGCTTTTTCAAATAAGGTGACCAAACAACGCTACAATATTCTAATATTGACCTCACATAAGCAACGTAAAGTAATTTGCTCTATGTATTACTGTGTTATAATGGTCCACAAATGTCAATTTAGAATCTAGAATAACACCTAAATCTCTTACATTTTCACATTTTTGAACATTTTCATTACCTAATGTAATACGAAGATTTTGTTTGCTTAGTTTTCTACTGTACGTTATAAGATTACATTAGTTTGACTCCCAGAATTTCGAAGGCCCACAATCATTCTAAGGAATCTTGAAACGTTTTTCGAAGCCCATTGTATAAAATTTTAATAATTTTTCAATTTTCCATCATTTCATTTGCAAAACAATTACAGCTAGATTAGGCCTGTTCATTTTAACAGAAATGTTTGGGATGCACCGGGTCAACCTTGATTACTGTTCGTCATGTTAATTTGAACTTCTGTTCAAATGTTCAGCAAAATCGGTGATGATTTAAAGGTGTGTTAAGTTAAATTTGTGTTTTTAAGGTAATTTACGGCTTATCATCAGGGAATCAAAATCAACGATTCAGATAAAGATAATGGCATTCTCATTTTGGTTACACTCATGATTAGTACAAATCCGTAAATCACAATGGACAGTTCAGGAAACGATAATGCGATTATCATTTGTAACAGATCATGATCATATGAAAAAGCGATAATCTCTGATCATCATCATCAGCTGTCGTCACTGGAAATTCCTCTTGTAAGACAAGGCTAATCAAATACCCTATAATATGGGTATTTTCGGAATGGGGATGACGTATAGAGATCGAAAATCGATGTTTGCTGTCATTTTGAAATCCAGGATGGTGGCCATCGATTTAAGAAAAAACTGTCGAAAATTGATGTCCGCCGCCATTTGGAAATCCAAGATGGTGGCCATCGATTTCAGACAAGGAGCTGCTAAGCCAGCATTTTTCTGTTATCTGCTATTTTTTACCCACACACTTACAACCAACGCAAAACAAACACATGCGGTGTAAGCGACAGCTGTAAAATAGCAATACAGCCGCAAAGTTCGTATGTGTTGTTCAAGTTTGTTATGGGCCATACATTTATAGACCTGTTAAGAGGGTACTGTCAAATTTGTGAAATCCCATAGTGGAAACATTTGATGTCAGTCCCGTGATTCCGGTATTTTCGGAACAGGGATGAAATGCAGATGTAGAAAATTAATATCTGCCACTATTTGGGAATCCAAGATGGCGGCTATTGGTTTTAGAAACAACTGTACCCTACAATATAGGTATTTTTGAAACCGGGATGACGTGCAGATGTCGAAAATCGCCATTTGACTAGTGGACAGTTTTATCTAAAAACAAAGGCCGCCAAATGGCCAAAATGGCGGTGGACATCGATTATCAACATCTACATGTTATTCCAGTTCCAGAAATACCCATATTGTAGGGTATTTGACAGTTCTTTTTTCCGAAACCAACGGTCGAGATGGCGGATTTCAAAATGGCGGCCTAGATTAATTTTCAACACATATGGGTCCTCCCGATTCCAAAAATTTCCATATTGTACGGTATTTGACCTCTAGAACAACTTTTCCGAAGACAGCAAGCTCCTAGATTTCGAGATACTGTCGAGTGATTTCGAGATACTGTTGAGCAATTTGTAAAATAACGAACATTTTGGAATTTAGGAATCTTCAATCATTTCTAAAGGTCTGGAATCTTGAAGATTATTCTTAGCACAGGATCTCTACAAAAAAATCTATGTCCAGAATCCGGAAGAGTAATCCATGAATTAATTTATTTCAATTTATTAAATTCAATTCATTTCAGGCCCATTGTTTTTACGTGAATATGTAACTTTTCTATCATTTATATTTGAACATTAGGGATCCTGGTGCATAGAAACCCTTTAATATTCTAAGACATTGAAAGTTTCTATGATTTCAAAATTAAGAAAACTTTGAAACAATGATAATAATTGAGGGTTGGTTGGTTTATATGTAAGTTAGACAATAGTTAGAGAAAAAAAGTTCAAATGGAAAAATGGTAGAAATGGATGAAAGATCTAAATGAACAGATGGTCGAATGACATAATTGCTAAATCAAAGGTTGGATTAGACGCAATTCGAATCAAAACTAAGAGGGAAAAGATTTAATTTCACAAAATTACACTAGCCAAAACGTCATTTAAAGCCAAGTAAACAATGTGACGAATGGTTAAAAGGTTAAATGGACAAGATACACACAAAAATTATTTTACTGAAAAAGACGGTAATAATTGAAATGACCGTTACACAAAAAAAAATAGAATAGGAAAATTTTATGTTATGACGTTTAATGAAGTTTTGAGAACAAATCCTGTACAAGTTTGGAATCACAAACCTATTTATTTAAAAAAAAATCGCATACTTGTAAACTTTGACCAAACAGTTCAAAATCTTTCGAATAACCAAAATCCAGCATAACGCAGTGTGAAGAATGGAAAACAATTTTTTCTTGAAATGATGATGATGATGGTCCCACCTCTTACCCCTACAAAGGTTTGACCTAGACGATTTATCTTGAAGTTAATTAAATACGACATTTTAATCAGGTTAGTAAACAAAATCGAACTGGTTACAGCTACAGATATAAATTTCCTCTAGAGTTTACAGTTGCTTCACAGCGATATAAATGTGGAAAAGCTCAGACGTCCGCCTCTTAGTTCGCTTTTTTGTCCACCTAAAATATTCATAAGTATTACAAGCAATCCAGAGTTAATGCACAATCAACAAAACATCCTATTACATTAGCAACCCCGCAATCTGATCCTATCACAATTTTTCAGCAATGTCAGGAATGCTCGCGTACTCCTTTATAATATAATGAATTTTGTGAAGCACAAGTCAAGAAATGTGGTGTTCTTATTTCAACCGCGTTTTTAGTATTATATCTATGAAAGTCACTTTCTCTTTCAATTCGATCACACAAATATCAAGGCAGCAAACCGTTAACTACTTTAAAAATGAACACCAAATATACAATTTTTTGCTTCATCGACAACCATTGTAACGCGTCTAGCATCAAAGTTGAGAAAGTGAATCTATTACATCTCAAAATCAAACTTCTTCATTTGATCAAAATTAGTTCTTTTAGTCGGTTTGTCGATTTTGGTGTTGACTGTTCATAAAGATTCTCATTCTAGCTTTTTTTCCCTACTTCATCCTTTTGGCTTGATCAACAACCTGTTGTCAACTTTGACCATTTGTTCATTTGTACCATTTGTCTCTTCAACATTCATTCGACGATTTGTCCATTCGAACCTATTCGTTCTTTTCAACATTTGGGGACATCCATGAAGTATGTCTCATTCCAAGGGGAAAATGAAGTTTTACAAATTTATAACAATCAATTGATAGGGGAAATGGATGTAATGTCGGCCTAAATGTTCCTAATTTGGACACATACATAAATTCAACAATCGACTAAATTTTCAACAGCGACCAAAAATATCCATTAGTACCGTCCCAATGACGCGTTCAACTAGATAAAATCGATCAGTAGCAAATGTTTAGCGATGCGCCCAATCTTAGATCCATAGGCCAACATTAGAGCCATTTCCCCTGTTATATTTATTCATTTTGACCTTTTTTTTCCATTTCAACTTTTCATCCATTTTGCCTTGTTATTTTTTTTTTTTTTTTTTATTATTTGATTTCCGTCGATCTTGTTTTCCGTGCTGAGCACCAATGCTACCGACGCCAGGAAGGCAGCTCCCACACCTAGACCCTACCTATCGACCCATCAACTCATGAACCGGGGCCAACGGCCAAGGCCAAAGGCGTGATCAGAGATTTTTTTTTTATAGTCACTTTAACGCTCTTGGGTCATTCGTGACTTGTCGGGGGGTGAGATTTGAACTCGTGACGTTGGAGTGAGAGGGATGGATGTTAACCAATACGCCGGGGTCGCCCCACCATGTGATCAGAGATGTTAGGCCTCAGAACATTCCGGCGGCGCCAACTGGGTTTGAACCCAGGCCTGCTGGGGTGAGAGGCAATCACGCTTACCACTACACCACCGGCGCCGTGGTTTTGACTTGTTGTCCTTTTATAGCTTTTGTCCATTTCAACCAGTGATGGCATAATCATTAAAAATTGATATCTTTCCTCTCTCATGTGCTCTCAATATCACGCGTGATATTGGAGCAAAA